GAAATACTCTATAAAATGTTTTATAGAATAAATATAATTCATAACCGACTAAAGAATGCGAATAAGATTTCACCGAAAGTTTCCTTTCCCTAAATTTCTTTTGTTCAATTTTTTCGTTAAGATCCATGATAAACTTAATTTCTAATAATAATAAATAAATATTCTAATAAATATATCGATAATAAATATATCGAAAATTAATAAAATTAATTTCGAAAAATTTAGACAAAAGAAAAAATCAAAAGTTACTTTCACTTTTTACTTAGAAATATTTTTAATAGTAAGAAGGTAATTTTGTAATAATAATATTTTTAGCAATAGAAAGTGAATCATTATGAAAGTGACAGTAAAACTGTAATTAAACTTTCTTCACATCTTGATGATAATAAATTGAATTTTTTTCGTAATTTGTAGAAACAATACATTTTTTTTTTCTAATTTTATCACTTCATTTCTTTTCCTTTAAAATAAAATAATATTTTGAATTTTAATGAATGAATAAAAACAAAAACTAATTATCCTATTTTAATGAATGTTAAAAGAGAATGAAATGATCGATTAATGCAACACATAAATATTTACCTGAAATTATTCATTTTTTTTCACATAACTGAAATTTTAACAAATTTTAATAAAAAAAAAACATCTAAATGTGTTTTTAAAAAAATTTAGAGAAATTGGAATAGGTAATAAAATTTATCTGAAAATTTTCATTTGTTATTAATTACATTTCCCTTTTAAAAAATAATAAAATTAAAAAATCATTTTGATTTAAAATTGACAAAAAGAAAAATTAGGAAATGATTTGAAATTATCAACAAAAAATGTTGAGAAAATTCGTTTGTTTGATGTTTCATGCTTGTTTTTACTGATAATTACTATTATATTGAATTTACCTTTATTGGTGTAATTTTAGATGAAACAGGTAAATTTTTTAAATTTGTAGCCTAAAATTTGAAATTGTTTTCTCCTTTGAAAAAATTACTGATAGATATATATTAGCAATATAATTTACTAAATGTTACTAATTTTAATATCGAATATGCTAATTGATATATCATTACAGAGGATAAATTAACAGTGATAAGTGAAATCATTACAAAGGAAAAATTAACAGTGATAAGTGAAATCATTACAAAGGTTAAATTAACAGTGATAAAGGATAAATTAACAGTGATAATAGATATAGCGTTACAAAGGATATAAATTTCATTTTAATAAATTTTCAATTTTATGAAATATTCTAATTTCATTTTCTAGCTAAATTTTTGGCGTGAACCAACAGATATTGGACATGCTGTGGATATTATGCTGCAACCATCGATGCTTCATTCATTAACAGATCTTTTCACGGCAAATAATATCACCTTTAAAGTAATTATCGATGATGTTAAGAAGTGAGTATGTAAAATGTAAATAATTTATATATTAGCTCTTATATAATATTATCAATTTCAAATTTAGATAAATTAAGGTAATGCTGGATTGTAAAAAATAATTGAAGATAAAGTATAATTTGAAAATGAATTTAAATTATCTTAATTTAAATAAGACTATCTTAATTTAATTAAGATAATTAAAATCAACGCTGAAAAATAAATCTGTAAAATATAAGTAATTAAAATTCAATATGATGTTAATGATAATTGAATGTAGATTGATATATGAACGAGAAGGTCAACCAAGGAAAAATGCTTTGCGAAATTATGGAACGGCACATAGTTCAATAATGAAATCATTCTTGAAACGCTCGAAAGATGTGAATTCGATTAGCAGTAAAGCAAAATATGACTTTGGTGATTATCACTCTTATCATATCATCTCATCATGGCTTAATGATATCGAACGTTTCTATCCAAATATCGCAAAAGTTTTTACTATTGGACAAACATTTGAAGGACGAAACATTAATGGCATTAAAGTATGTGGTAAATTTCTATAAGAATTTTTTTCATAACTTCTATATAATATTTAAAGTTTAATTCAAAACTTTGATTCATAAATTTCTGATGCAATTTCTTTGTTTTCATTAATTAAAATTATTATTTCAAAGTATTATGAAATTTAGGAATTAATTATGGAATTTAGAAATTAATTTATACATCGTTAAGGTTTCATAAAATTAAATTCTTTTTTAGTCTTTCTTTTTCTTAGATTGGAAATCCAATTGATAGAACAGATAAGCGAATAGTTTGGATTGATGGTGGAATTCATGCCCGTGAATGGGCTGCTATTCATACTGTATTATATTTTATTGAACAGGTAATCGGCTAGTATATTAGGAGAAATTAATTTAAAATTTCAAAAAATTAAATTTAATAATAGGAATTATAAAAGTCAAAATACAACAGCAAAGAAAGAAAACTCAAATTAATTATATTAATTATCACATTGATTTAAAATATTGAATTTTTTTAGAAGTAATAAAATTTGCAAAAATATAATAACTTTTATGTAATATGTTTATTAAGCAATGCAAATGATTTGTTAATTGATAATAGGAAGTGATTTAATTAAAATTGACATTGGTTAATAGTTTTAAATATTTTGTCGAAATTTTTACAGAATTTATATTGTTTACTTCAAAGTTTTCAGTTAATATCACAATATGGAATTGATCCACAAATTACATCATATGTTGATAGGCTTAATTTCTACTTTGTGCCAGTTGTTAATCCGGATGGTTATGAATATTCAAGATCCGATCAATCACCACAAGTATCTTAAATATATAAAATTCTACAGCTTTTTATTCATAATCATGATCAAAAATTAATTTTGATATAATGATTTTTGAGCTGATATAATGATTTTTGTTATAATGAATTTTTTTTATTGATTTTTGATATAATGATGATATAATGATTTTTGTGGCTTTGTGCCTTATACGATTTGAAAATATGAATAACTTCGTTGTTAATATTAATTTAAAGATATTGATTTCGTACCACATAGTAATACGTATGACTTAACCTTTGACTTTCTTATAGACTTTACCTTTAACTTTCTGAAGTACTATTATTAGATTTATAAATATAAATTATTCATATTATAAGTGAAAATATAAATATACCAATTTATATAGGCTTTATTTAATTCTATCGAAAAAATAACTCAAAATGAAATATATGAAATTAAATGAGTTTTGAAATAATTTTTCTGACCTTTTTCCTTCCATGCATTTCGTCATTTCCTTACACAATATTTTGAAATTTAAATATCATTATCTATTATAGGTTATTTATGAATATAAGGAAGCAAGTAATTGAATTGAAGAAATTAAAGTATACTTTAAGGCAAGACTTTGGAGGAAAAATCGTGATAAGAAAGAATGTTTTAAAGATCGCTGGCGTCGTACACGTTGTTGTGTTGGAGTTGATTTAAATCGAAATTTCGATTTTTATTGGGGAGGTTTGTCTCGTGCAATTTTTATAATCCAACTTATTCATTCCTAAACTTGAATGGCAAAAAAGAAAAATGAGAAAATAATTATTGTTGAGGGAACGAAGACGAATATTTTTATTAAAACAATAAAGAAAATTATGATAAATTATTTCTTTTAATTTCTTTAAAAATTAATTTTAAATTTTCATATTTAGTAATTGAGAGATGATTGAAATTAATTATCATACTTAATGAATAGTTTGAAATTAGAAATTTTATCAAAAAGAATTGTAAAATGAAAAATAAAGTTGTAAATTTGTCAAATTGAAATAAATAGTGGGGACGGAAAATTGCTAAATTATGCTAATGTAATTTCAAATTTATAATTAAAACATTTGTAATTTTGTTTTATTTTAAATTTCATATTTATAATTAAAACACAAGTTCATATAGGGCAATTTAAGTTTCTAAGTTATAAATCAATGTTGTAAAATTATCAGTTATGGAAAATCCAATGATATTCAAATTATAAATCAACTATGTGAATTTATCAGTTATGGAAAATACAAATATACTATAAATGTATGCTATAAACCATAAATATATAGTATAGAATGGCATTTGAATTTTTATAATTTATTTGTTTTTTTGAATTGCAGAAATTGGATCAAGTTCACATATCTGTTCCGAAATTTATCGTGGGAGCGAACCATTTAGCGAATTTGAAACAAGGTATCGTGTATCATTATAATGATTTTTTAGAAATTAAATAATGAAATAATTGATCGTTGTCAAAAATTGCTAATCATCAATTTTTTTATTATCTGATAATTCTTGATCGAATTTTTCTCGTAAAATTTTATTAATTATTAATAGTTAATAATTCATATACAGTAATTTGTTAATCATACGGTAAGTTACAATAATTTGTATATTAGCTAATTTTTTATTTTATAACTTTAATTTTTAATTTTTGAACAAATTATTAATTTATAGTTTTTTAAATTTTTAGCAACATATTTCTTTTTAATTAATTTTTATGTTCAGGAACTGTTTACTTGTTGTTTTATTCCCTTACTATACATATATTATTATCCTTATTATACATATATTATTACATATATTATGTAATGAAATGATATATAATTTAAGTTCAGCTACATTACAAAAACGAAGTTTATAACAAGAATTTTGAAATGAAATGCAATCAAATCATTCATTACAAAAATTCTAAATAATCATAATAATAAAAGATAACAATATCGATTGATGAGAAATAAGTTATCGAATCATTTCAACTAATCACATTGATAAACGATTGGTGAAATCTCATTTCTGTTAATATCATTGACATCTTGTGATATATAACTGATTAGAGCAATACGCGACAAATTATTATCAGTGGAGATGTACGGTAAAGTTGATGCCTTTATCACATTGCATACATATAGCCAAATGTGGATTCATCCATACAGCCATCAACGTCATGCATTTCCCAATGATGTCAATGATCTTGTAAGAATTTGATTCATTGATGGCAAATTAATTAATTATTAAGTTTAAGTAATTTTATCTTAAAAGAAAAAGGAGAAAAAATTTTGGAGTAAATTTTATTTAATTAAAATATCAAATATCTTTCATTTTTGATTTATTAGAACTATCAAAAAGAAAATGAATTAAGTTGGAATTTAAAATTTTTTATGAAAATAATCAAAAAACAATCGATTAATTTATAACGATTAAATTTTAAAACAATCGATTAATTTGTAATTAATAAATTTTTTTTTTAAAAGTTTGCTTTATTTCTCTCAACTTCTTTTACTCTCTCCTTAAATGATATTTGCAAATAAGCAAATTAGTATTGAAAAGAGGAAAGAGCAAAAAATAAGATTTGTTTTATAAGAACTATTTTATGCAGCAAGAAGTTGGAAAAGAAGCAGTAAAAGCACTGGAAAATGTTTATGGAACAAAATTTCGATTTGGTTCAGGCGCTGATATACTATGTATGCCATTTGCGCCATTATCAGTTTTTTAGTTCTTTTAAAATTAATTAAGAAATTCATTAGGTGTTTTTTAATTTTTGCTTACATTATTGAAGTGACAATTGATCAATGATATCTTTATTAATTTAAAAATGTAACGATAATAATACAAAAGTACGCTTTTAGATCCTTCATCAGGTGGCTCAGATGATTGGGCTAAATTAAAAGCTGGAGCAAAATTTGTATATCTACTTGAGCTAAGGCCAAGTGAAAGTGGTTAGTTTGCTAATTTTATTTATAATTATACTTTATAATTATATTTTACTTATAATTATAATTATACTAAAAAAAATTTTCATTGAAATGAAGTTAAAATTGAATTGAAATAATTTACTTAATTAAATTTTGATTTCTTGGGCACTTTAACCAAAAAGGGCAGAAAAATAAATAATGAAATGATGTAATTCAGATTTTGGTGGATTCCTCTTAGATCGTCGACAATTAATACCAACCGGTCGGGAAACATGGGCAGGTGTACGGGTTGTCATCGATGCAATTTTACGATCGCAAGGTTCATCTATATATCTTAACCAACAATTCAAAAATGGTTAAATATAATTTCAAAACTTCACGAATACATTAATTACTCCTATACAAGGATTCATTCTTACAGAAAATTTTATCCTAAATTATATAACATTTTAAGGAATAGAAGCACCAGCAACAATTAACATCGATACACGGCCTAAATTTCAACAACTTCAAAACAGTATGTTTCTTTTTCATACTCTTTCTTTGTTTATCTAAATTTTATACAAAATAGGCAATCGAATGTAAAAGAAAACTGATGTATTAAATTGAAACATTTTGTGGAATTCAACAAAGTTGAGCAAAATTTTCGACAATTTAATCGTTTTATTAAAACATCATTGAATATTATAAACGTGTGTGTGTGTGTGTGCTTTATTAATTAGATTATCTTTTGATGAAAAACAACAAAATTCAATGCACAATGATTCTTTTATAAATGCTTTTTTATGAAGAGGAAGTTTTAATATAATCATAAATTATATTTCATTGTTTTAAATTATTTCAATTTATTCAAACGATTTCATTTTGCATTATGCATTTTATAAAATATAGACAAATTATTTCATTTAATATTTATTTACAGAAAAAATTTAATCTTGCTAAAATGAATTCAACTTTTCTTATCCGAATTAAAATAATAACATTCGTAGTTGAATATTTCGCTAACTTATGATACGTGCACTTTTTTCGGAAAATAATTTTCATCTTTTCAGGAACATGTACTGATAGATCACCATGGTGTGCCACTTGGATTGATATCGATCCGCATATTTGTTTGACAGCTAAATCGTATATGAGAGAGCAATGCTCCCTATCATGTCGTTTTTGTTGAACATCAGCAACAACAAAAGAAAGAAAAACGAAAATTTAATAATTCATTATGATTGATGAAATTGCAGCGCCATTTTAAGGATTCTGTTGAAAATGAAAACAAAGAAAAACTACTTCATTTAATTTTATTGCCATTCTTATCTTGTATTGTAACATTTGCGCTTTTTATGATTCTTTTCTTTTTCTTGTCGGAGATTCTTAACAGGTTGAGTAAGGTAAAAAAGGAAATTTGATAATCCTAAAATTTTATTTCTTTTCCTATGTAAGAAATGAAATTTTACGATTATCAAATTTTTAAGATTTTATGATTACCAAAAATTGTTTTTTTTTTTTAAAAACAATTTATAAAATTAATTTGAGAAAAATTTTTCCATCGGTTTTCTTTGTTAAAAAATAGCAATTTAAAAAATTTATCAAATCGTTTCGTTTTTATTCTTTGTTTTATTTATATGAAAAATCAACGGTAAATCACTCATTTGTGAAATTGATTTAATAAGTCTTTGCAACTAATTTATTCAAAACAATTTCAAAAAATGAAAGAAATCATTTGATATGAAAAAAGTACGCAAATTTCATATTGATACAGTACCATGATTAAACCTCATATTGTTGCAGTACCATAATTAAATCCCATTGATACAGTACAACGGTTAAATTCTACATTGATACAGTATCATAACCTCCATGGATTGCCATTGAAATACAGTATTGCGTTTTTTTTCATTTGCATTAAATTATTGAATGTTTTGGTGATTAAAATTGTGATAAAAAATCAAACAATTTTTTCAACTGCAAATTATAATCTTTTGTTATTGCCGATTTATATCGTCGATATTATTTTATGATATTAGTTTTATACCTTTCATTTAGTTAATTTGGAACGAAGTAGATAACGAAGTGGGTATCATCTTTAAGATAATATTGTTCGATGCTTTGAGATGATATTAATCGAAATTTCCGGAATAATATCAATCTGAATTTCAGGATCACACTAATAGAAATTTTGAAATCATATTAATATTTGAAACAATATATTAATCTATGTTTCAAAATTGTATGTAAAATTTTGTAAATTTGAACATTGGCTGTTAGCATCAAGAAAGCAACAATATTTTTCCATTTTACTAAAATTAAAATTCGAAAAATAAATTGTACAGCACTGATAAATATGTTGGACAACGTATTAGATTGAAATCAGAAGTGAACGAAATATTTGAAAATTTAAAAATTACTAAAAATGAAACTTAAATAATTCGAAAAATACAATTTTTTCCATTGCTATTACATATAGTTTAATTTATAATAACATGTTACAGTTACATGTGCAATAAAACATTCGGAACGTCTAGCAATCTGAAGAGACATCAATTAGCGCATAGAAACTTTTCATTTTTTTCATTGCAACATAAAATGTTACAGTTACGAATTAACAATATAATTCATAATAATTTGCAATTGGTAATAATTAAATGCTTTTGCTAAATACATTAGCTTAAAATGAAATTTACGTAGTGATTATGCAACAACGAAATCGTTCTATAATGGTTGTTGTCGAATAACGGAAAGTTTGTGTGGAAGTTGTAATGCAGGCTTGGAACCTATCTGGGACATTTAATGTGGTTTAACACTCCTCGGAAATGCGGATTGTATGATGTCTTCGAAGTGTTCCTTTTAATCCAAAGCTATATTATATCATTCTGTAGTAGGATGTATGCCGTTTAAATTTTGAATCCATTTACCTTCTTCATAGAATAAAGATGTTAATTGTTGCAAGGATCTTTAAAATATCTTTGCTCTGGAAACAACAAATTAAAAAATAAAACCGAAAAATTGAAAGAACGATTGCATCCAGAAATATGTAATCTCCGAACAGTTCTTACTGTTTTAGAGCTATTTGTAAAATTTCAGTATTTTCAAAGTTGAATAACTAATTAAAAAAAAACCCTATTAAAAAAAAACTAATTTTAGATATTCTCAACAATATCTTTTCCCTAAGCTGATATTTTCAATTCCAGAATCTTTCAATGCTATTTCGAAATTGAAAAATTGATTATCAGATCCTTAATTTTGCTTCTATTTTGATTGGCAGAAATTATTGGAATTTTTAATTTTTAAGATTTTCTCAGGGTAAGTCATTTGTGTTGAATACTGCAACTATAAGGAATGTAAATGAATAAAGTTCAAAATATAATATAGAAAATCTTTCCGATCGATACTTGACATATTCCATTTATGATACCGTTTTCAAGATTCAAATGAAATTCAAGAATTTATTACTTGAAAGCAATTTTTGTAAAAAAATATCGATTGAGAATCTCTATTGCAATTTATAAATAAATTTTCAAATGATTACTGAATTTAAACGACAACATATCAGTCTTTTTATTTGCTTTATTTTCATACATTATTTAGCATCTTCTATATGAACTCTTCATAATGATATGACATTCACTTTCAAAAGTGCTTCAATACCTAAAATGGATTTAATACCGTTCGATTAGTTTGCTTAATTGCTGTGTGATATATATATAAGCACAATTCTTCTAAGTACAAATAAAGGAAATCAAATTCAAATCCATTCATCCAATTTCATCAATCACTTTAAATAGTGGACAAAGCATAAACGATAGAAAAAAATGTACAAATACAACTTAAATCAACATAATACAATAATTTATAGTCCTGCGAATGTAATTATTTCCCTTATTGATATTTCTGTGTCAATGATATCTGATATCGATAACATTAAGGAGCTTACAGTAGAATAAAGCTTTTCATCCGAACTTTTATGCATTTTCATATGTCTATTCAAATTATCTTTCCGAGTGAAATTCCTACCACATACTTTACATTCGAATGGCAGCACGTTTTCATGCGTTAATACGTGCATCTTCAGATTCCGAGGTATTTTGAATGATTTATTGCATACATAACACTCGAATGGTTGTTCTTTTCTGTGCGTCAATTGGTGTCTGTTCAGTTCGCAGGACCGTTTGAATGCTTTATTGCACACGTAACATTTGAATGGTCGTTCGTTTCCATGCATTACTTGGTGTTTTTTCAAATCATCGGGCCGTTTGAATGTTTTATTACACACTTGACATTCGAATGGTTGTTCGTTTCCATGCAACAATTGGTGGCTCTTCAGATCGCTGGACCTTTTGAACGCTTTATTACATACCTCACATATGTAATTTTTTTCATCGCTATGTACCACCTCATGGCGTTTCAGAATGCTCGAATGTAAGAATTGTTTACCGCATACTTCACATTTGTACCGTTTTTCGTTTGCTTTCCCGTCATCAGACACAGTCTTTATTTCGTTGTCATTACTTATTGCTGCTTGTATTGCCTCATCGCCTTCATTTGATACCTCAAATAACCCAAAATCATATGTTAATATATTTGACTATTTTTCTGTGATTTTTGAACAGTAATGATCAAAGGCATTGTGCAGATATCATTGTAGAATCTCTGAATGGCAATAATTCACTTCTAGCTCGGTGAATTGTAATAATTGAAAAAAGCGTTGTGCTGTTGGTTTTAGACAGAAGATTAAGAAACCGATATAACAAAAATGATTCGGTGATTCAATGTGAAAAGTTTTGTGTTTCACTTTAGTATTTGATATAGGAAAAGATCGCAAAACATCATTTACAATTAATAGAGAAATAGATAAGAAATGAAAGATTTAGCTTGCTTACACAGGAAGCAGGTGTTTTTGTCCTTAGCTAAGATAAAAAATCTTGCAAATATTAAATTTCCATACTGAAAGGTAATATCTTATTCACATACCGTTATTTGCGCGACGTATAACGGCAGAGTAAGCAATACGAAATAGTATGACAGATACATGATTGAGAAATGACGGGATATGAAATCGTCGATTTCTTTTCGAAAAAGTATTTTTAGCAGACAACCAATCTAATGAAATGATATTTGTCGTATTAACTGAGAGGACCGTTTTTATGCATTCCGGTCATGTATAATCACAGATCTCCAGTTTTTTCACATAATATTTTTAGCTCCACTGCACTTTAAAATTTTTTGTAAGTTACACTGAATAATAATAGTTTTATGCAAATGCGATTATAATTGGCAGCATTGTTCAGAATTATCACCAAATCTCTTCAACCTCCGATAGAATGAAATCATTCGAAGAATATTTACAATAACTATTTTGAAATTATTAACATCCAAATATTTGCTAATAGACTTTTTAAACATTATTCTGATAAATCTTCAACGCCAACAGATTTCAAAGGCTTTAAATGTAATCGATCTTTTAATTTCTATTATTATTGATTTCGATGATATCTGATATTGGTAGGAATACTACGAAGGTAAATTATATAGCTAAGCAATTTTAATAAATAATTTCTAAAATTCAAGATGGCTTACTGAGAGTCTTGAAAATCTGTTGGCGTTGAAGATTTATACGAATAATGCTGAAAAATTATAATAGCAAATAAAATCTCTTCAACCCGAATAGATGCATAGACCAAGTGATGCGCGGAAACGAACGACCGTTCAAATGTTACTTGTGCAATAAAACATTCAAAAGGTCCAGCAGTCTGAAGATACATAAACTGGCGATACATAAATCTGAAGATACAAATTCTGTGATCAATGAATGACCAGTTGGATATGATGTAGAAGACGATATATGAATGTACATGATATATGAATAGACGATATATATTGGATCTGATATATGAATGGTAATAATCTCAAAATAGTTTCGATCTTCAAATTATTTTAATAGCAATGCTTTATCGTTTTTTGTGATAATTACACATTACATTACTGTGAATATTCCTCAAATGATTTCATTCCATTCGGGGCTGATGAGATTTAGTGACAATTCCGAACAACGCCAGTTTTAATCACATTTCCATAAAACTATTATTATTCGGTGCAACTAACAAAAAATTTTGAAGTGCAGTGAAGTCAAAATTATTATGCGAAAAGACTGAAGCTTTGTGATTATACTTTGGTCACAGATCATACGGCTTACTGGAATGCATAAAAACGGTCCTCTCAGTTAATACGACAAAATCATTCATTAAATTGGTCTGCTAAAAATATTTTTCGAAAAGAATACGACTATTATCACATCCCGTCATTCTCGACCATGTATCTATCATACTATTTCGTATTGCTTGTTTTGCCGTTATATGTCGCGCAAATAACGGTATGTGAATAAGATATCGCTTTCAGTATAGAAATTAAATATTCATAAAGTTTTTAATCTCAGCTAAGGACAAAAACAGCTGCTTTCTGTGAAGGAAAATTAAATTTTTCATTTTTAATCTATTTCACTGTTACATCTAATTAGTCGAATTAATCCGTGATCAATTCCTATAGCAATAATCAAAATCAGAAGCAAAAGTTTGCAAATTGAATCACTGAACTATTTTTGTTACTCGCAGAACTATTTTTTTCGCAGAACTATTTTTCGCAGAACTATTTTTAAAATGTTAAAATGTTAAATTTTTAAATGGCAATTCGCAGAACTATTTTTAAAATGTAGAAGTAACTTATTGCCAAATATTCTACATTCAAATATTCTACAGTGATATCTGCGCAATACCTGTGATTATTATTGTTTAAAAATCACAGAAAAACAATAAGCTAACTATAAACCAATGATTTTGGATTACTTCAGGTGTCAAACGATAAGCGAATACAAGAAGGAATAGAAAATAAGAGCAAAATAAAGGCTGTGGCTAATAACAGTGAAGCAAACAGAAAACGATACCAATGTAAGATATGCGGTGTGCTATTCGGGCGTTCAGCTACTCTAAGGAACCATAAGATGGTACATATCGATGAAAAAAATTACAAATGTGAGATATGCAATAAAGCATTCAAATGGTCCGGTAATCTGAAGAAACACAAATTGACGCACGGAAACATACGACCATTCAAATGTCACGCATGCAATAAAACATTCAAATACTCCAGCGTTCTGAAGAGACACCAATCGACGGTCGAAAACGAACGACCATTCAAATGTCACGTGTGTAATGAAACATTCAAAGAATCTATCAATCTGAAGAGACACAAATTGACGCACGGAAACGAACGACCATACAAATGTCACGTGTGCAATAAAACATTCATGGAGTTCAACAAACTAAACAGGCACAAATTGACGCACGAAAATGAACGACCATACGAATGTTACGTGTGCAATAAAACATTCAAATACTCCAGCGTTCTGAAGAGACACCAATCAACGCACGAAAACGAACGACCATTCAAATGTCACGTGTGTAATGAAACATTCAAAGAATCTATCAATCTGAAGAGACACAAATCGACGCACGGAAACGAACGACCATTCAAATGTGAAATATGTGGTAGGAATTTCACTCAGAAAGGTGATTTGAATAGACACATGAAAGTGCATAAAAGTTCGGATGAAAAGCTATATTCTACAGTAAGCTCCTTAATGATATCGATAGCAGATGATATCATTGATACAGAAATATTTATAAAGGAAATAATTGGATTTGCAAAATTTTAAATTATAGCATTGTATTGACTTAAGTTATATTTGTACTAATTTTTATTTGCCGTTTGCTTTGTTCACTATTTCCCGATTAAATGTCAAATATGATTGATAAAGTTGCATGTGAAATTTTGAATTTCGAATTTCAACAATGGCTGAATCTATCTTCAACACAATAAAAGCAAAAATAAGTATTGCGATTCCTATATGTAGTTTTAATGTTTATTGCTGTTATCAAGAAAGCAACAATATTTTTCCATCATTAGCGATTGTAGACACTTACTGATAGTGTGATCTTTCCTTTTATATTTTAATTATTTGAAGGAAAAGGAAGAGATCGAAAAAATTTATTGATATTTTGAAGAATATAAGAGAAGGCTACGATAAGTTACTCATTCAGTGACAACGAATGCTCCGATCCGAATAATACAATTTCTTCCATTGCAACATAACAACATATTACAGTTACATATAAACAATGTAATTCGTAATAATTTGCAATTGGTAATAATTAATTGCTTTTGCTAAATAAATTAACTTGGATGAAATTTACGTAACAGTTATGAATCAATGAAATCGCTCTGTAATAATTATTGTCGAATAAGGGAAAGTGTATGTAGAAGTTGTAATGCAGGCTGGGAATCAATCTGGGAATTTGTAGACTTTCTCACTCATTAGAAAGAAAGAGGAAAACAGAATTGGCAATAACGATTGCTTGGAATTTGGCGTATATGAGAATTCGAAATTTCTTTAATTTTTCATTCCATAGGAAAACACTTTTATTAATATTATTTCAATTCTAAGCCAAGAAAAGCTGATAGTATCACTGATAGTAAACTGATATTATCATTACTTAAATAAAATTTATCATTCTCGTACTAACTACACTAACGTGCTTCAATTGTTAGAGAAATTAAAATATTTGATTGATTATACGGTATCATAATTACAATTGTGATTATAATTTCTTATCGTTAGAAATTTATATACAGCTGATATTACGAACATCAAATGAATTGTGATTATATCTCCGATTATTATTATACTATACTATCAAATAATACATTATGTTATGATTAATAAATTATATTTTATTATATTACATTATCAATTGATATATTATTATTTTTCAATTGATATATTATTAATATAAAATTATTATAAAATAGAAAATGTTAATTTAATATAAAATTGATAAATGCAATATAAGATTGATAAATAAATTTTGAAATAATAATAAAAAAAAATGCAATTGAATCTCTATTGCAATTTATGAATAAATTTTCAAATGATTACTGAATTTAAACGACAACATATCAGTCTTTTTATTTGCTTTATTTTCATACATTATTTAGCATCGTCTATATGAACTCTTCATAATGATATGACATTCACTTTCAAAAGTGCTTCAATACCTAAAATGGATTTAATACCGTCCGATTAGTTTGCTTAATTGCTGTGTGATATATAAAAGCACAATTCTTCTAAGTACAAATAAAGGAAATCAAATTCAAATCCATTCATACAATTTCATCAATCAGTTTAAATAGTGGACAAAGCATAAACGATAGAAAAAAATGTACAAATATAACTTAAGTCAACACAATACAATAATTTATAGTCCTGCGGAGGTAATTATTTTCTTTATAAATATTTCTGTGTCGATGATATCATCTGCTATCGATATCATTAATGAGCTTGCTATAGAATATATCTTTTCATCTGAACTTTTATGCAATTTCATGTGTCTGTTCAAATTACCTTTCTGAGTGAAATTCCTACTACATACTTTACATTCCAATAGCTGCACGTTTCCATGCGTCAATATGTGCATCTTCAGATTTTGGGATACTTTGAATGTTTTATTGCACATGTGACATTCGAATGGTCGTTCATTTCCGTGTATCAATTTGTGTCTCTGCAGACGTGAACTGTATTCGAATGCTTTACCGCATATGTTGCATTTCAGCATCATTTCAATGACCATATGTGCCTTCATATGTTCTTTCAGACAATGTCGTTTGAATTCCTTTTTACATATATAACATTCCAATGTGTTGTCTTCCTTCATATGTTCTTTCAGATAGCGACGCTGTTTGAAAGCTTTATCGCACATAGCACATTTGAATGGTCGTTCGTTTCCGTGCGTCAAATGGTGCATCTTCAGAACGCGGAATTCTTTGAATGTTTTATTGCACACGTGACATTTAAATGGTCTTTCGTTCCTGTGCTTCAGTTCATGTCTCTCCAGATCGCAGGGCCATTTGAACGGTTTATTGCATACCTTACATTCGCACCATTTTTTGATTGCTTTCCTGCCATTAGCCACAGTCCTTATTTCGTTGTTATATCTTGCTACTGCTTGTATTGCCTCATTGCCTTCATTTGATACCTTAAATAATCCAAATTGGTTTGTTAATATATTCGATTATTATTTTTCTATGATTTTTGAGCAGCAATCAAAGGCATTGTGCAGATATCATTGTAGAATCTTTTAATGGCAACAATTCACTTCTATATTTTAAAAATAGCTTGGTAAAATGCAATAGTAATTTGAAAAAAGTGCTAGTTGTGCTGTTGATTTAAGACAAAAGGATTAAGATATAACAAAAACGATATAACAAAAATGATTCAGTGATTCAATGCACAAACTTATTGTGTTTCACTTTTGATATTGGCTACAGGAAATGATCGCAAAACACTGACTATTTACAAGAAACAGGGAAATGGATAAGAAAGGAAAAATTTATTTTTCCTTCACAGAAGCTCCTGTTTTGTCTGTAGCTGAGATTAAAAACTTTGCGAATATTTAATTTCTATTCTGAAAGCAATGTCTTACTCACATACCGTTATTTGCGAGATGCACAACGGCAAAACATATAATACGAAATAGTATGACAGGTACATGATCGAGAAATACGGGATGTGGAAATAGTCGAATTCTTTTCGAAAAGTATTTTTAGCAGAGAACCAATGTAATGAAGTGATATTTGTCGCATTGAGAGGACCGTTTTTATGCACTCCGGTAAGCCGTATGATCTATGACCAAATTTAATCATAAAACTTTTGCCTTTTCGCATAGTAATTTTCACTCCACTAAAATTTTTTGTTAGTTACACTCAATAATAATAGTTTCATGTAAATGTGATTATAACTGGCAGCATTGTTCAGAATTGTCATCAAATCCTTTGAACTCGGAATAGAATGAAATCATTCGAAGTGGTGTAAAGTATGCGATAAAGCATTCAAATGGTCCAACAATCTGAAGAGATACAATTTGACGCATAGAAACGAACGACCATTCAAATGTCACGTGTGCAATAAAACTTTGAAACGGATCGATCGATTTGAAGAAACACAATTTAATGTAGAAAACGTATAACCATTCAAATGTGAAAGTTGTGGTAGGACTTTTACTCGAAAGAATAATTTGAAATAGAAAGTGAAAGGAATATAAATCATATGACTAACAAAGCGAATGTTTTCAAATGCGAGGCAGATATGGAAGTGAATATTCTATGAACAAATTTTCCATGATATCATTAAAGCTATGCTCAATTACTCGTTCAATGAAAACTACCGTATTTGATTTCAATTTTCACAAAAACGCAAGAATAATAATTTCATTTTCAAACAATCATAATTTTCTCACTGCACTACTAACCTGATTTAATTGATACTTAATTAGTACTTAATCGATATTATAAAATTGTGATGAAAAAAACGGCAGATTAAGATTTTAAAAGGAACTTTTTAAGCCATCGAAACCCCTGATTGTCATATGAAGAGATAAAACTTATTATCATTTTCTCTTTAGAGAAACACTGCATGTAATGAATACTTCAATTCCAGAAATCGTCACCTTACGATGCTTCCAATGCTACTCTCTCACGTCTCTCTTCTAAAATTAGTTTTGATTGCAGCGAAAGCACATAATAATAAGCAATATTAATGATACAGAAGAGAATAACTAACTCAGCCAACGCTATAGCAACACCCACAACGATAACTAAGTCCTCATTTGTAGCTCCTGTATCACTTCACATGACCTAAATTTTTTTTAGTTTCTTTTTACACCCACTACAAGAGCTAACATTTAAGAGAACAGCAACCACCGAAAACCAATTAAGCTCCTCTTAACTAACTAAATAATTTAGGTCTATGGATTAAACAATTTATAAAGAATCCAAGACATAAAGTGAAATAAAATCAAAACTTCATTTCATCGCTTTCCTAGTCAACTAAACGTACCAGCTGGTAAACTGTGGCCATAAACATTTTAAACAATTACAAGATACGTGTAAGAACATATTCTACCATGATGTGCTCTAATAATTGCATTTGCTACTAATTAATATTAGTTCCAATATTGTCTACATCGTTAAAAGTTTTCCTTGCTTTACTCAACAAATCACCACAAAATGATTTTCTAGTACACTGTTAAAAGTCTTCAAGTAGCGGTGTCATTATCAGTTAATAAAGAGACTTACTTATTTTCACAGGTGTCTTCATAGGCAACGGCACCGATGGGACTTCCGGCAAATTAAGCTCGCCTTTCTCTCCTATTAATTGTGCAAATTCCTTTTCTACTTCTTCCAAATCATCTTCACCAAGTTTACCACAGAGCATGTTTGATATTTCCTGCAAAAACATTGCTAAACAATTAAACATACATTTTCAACATATATTTGCAACATAGTATTTAAACATGAAGTAAAAACGGAACAATGAATGTTTTCTACCATAAAAGGAATCGACTTACTTCCTGAAACTCAGCTGCCTCCTTTGTCTCATCCATAATTCGCTCGATATCATCAACTGAAATCATCTGAAAAAAAAAGCATTTTATCACCAGTGAACCACAAACAAAGGAGGATTATTGAAGTTAAAAATTTTCTAGTACACCGTTGAAAAGCCTTCAAATAGCGATGAAATGGAATAAGAATTAATTTAAGTAAAATAAAACCACCGCATCAAACTGTTAAATAATGGATATAAATTATTTAACTTTTGAAAATTTCGAACCCCAATATTTGAACTTCTGGATATATTCCATTAAACAAATACAAATTCAAATGCTTGAAGAGTTCGAGAATTTTTGTCAAATCTATTCAGTTTTTATAAATGTGAAAACACATGTATCGGTAACCTCAATATCAAAATAGTTATCCACAAATTTGAAGAATGCTTGCGTTATTTAATTACCTGATTCATTCGTTTCAAGACTTCATTACCATTCTTCAATTGTTCCACCACTTTCTGTTCGATGACGGCAAATTCACCTTTAACAGTTCCTCCTTTTTCAGGTACCGTTGAAAAATTTTTGTTAAATTTTTATCCCTTACTATTTATTCCACTCCCTTGTTAAATTTTTATCACTTCTTATCCCACCTCTTTGTTAAATTTTTATCACTAACTTCTAATCCCACTTCTTTGATAAATTTTTATCACTTACTTCTTATCTGTTTGATTTTAGAAATGTAAAAATAATAAACTCACAGAACGAAAGAAGTAAATCTTTTGAAGGCGTAAAATATATAATACGGATTATATTGAAATAATTCATTGCTGAAACATAAAAAGGAGTATTTTCTGCATGTTATACTTATAGTTTAAAGAATGATAAATTAATAAAAGCAAAATATTCAAAACAATCTTTCTGAATAAAACTTTTCAGGTTTTGCTTCTGCCGTACGAAATTCAATGATAATAAAAATCTTTAGAACGATAACGTTTGAAGCAATGGGTTATTGAATCCCTTGAAAATCTGTTTGCTGGTGCCGATGATTTGCTCAAAGAATACCTGAAATTCTTAATGACAATTAATTTAAATCCTAATAATTTAAAATAATTCCATACTTCAAACTTTTTTAATAAAAATACTTCATTGTTTTTTAGTGATAATTACATATTAATTTATTGTGTATTCTCTTCGAATGATTTCATTCTATTATGAATTGAAATGATTTGGTGGCAATTCTGAACAATGCTGCCAGTTATAATCACATTTACAGGAAACTATTATTATCCAGCTTAACTAACAAAAAATTTTAGAGTGGAGTGAAAATTATTGTGCGAGAAAACGGAGGGTTTTATGATTATATTTGGTCATAGATCATACGGCTTACCGGAATGCATAAAAGCAGTTCTCTCAGTTAATACGACAACTATCACTTCATTAGATTGATTGTCTGCTAAAAATAGTTTTTTGAAAAGAATTCGACAATTTCCACATCTCATCATTTCTCGAACAAGTACCTGTCATGCTATTTCGTAATGCTTGTTTTGCCGTTGTACGTCGCGCAAATAACGGTATATGAATATGATCTTGCTTCTCAGTCTATAAAATAAATATTTGCAAAATTTTAATCTTAGCTAAGGACAAAAATAGCTGCGTCGTATGAAGAAAAATTAAAAGTATTCATATCTATTTCTCTGTTACGTCTAAACGATTTTTGCGATCATTTCCTGCGCAACCAAAAGCGAAACACAAAAAGTTTGTGCATTAAATCGCCAAATCATTTTTATTGCACCAATTTATTAATCCTTTTGTCTTAAATTGATAGTTACAATATAGCACAACTGATACTTTTCCAAATTATTATTATAATTCACTGAGCTATTTTAAAAATATAGAATTTAATTGCTTCCATTATAAGATTTTACAATGATATCTGCACAATATCACTGATTATTGCTGTTCAAAATTCACAGGAAAATAATAATCATATATGTTAACATATTATTTTGGGTTATTTCAGGTATCAAATGAAGGCGATGAGGCAATACAAGTAGCAGTGAGAAACGACGACGAAATAAAAACTGTGGCTGATGACGGAAAAGCAAACGAAAAACGGTATAAATGTGAAGTATGCAGTAAGCAATTCGGGTATTCAGGCGCTTTGAAACGCCATAAGATGATACATACCGGTGAAAGAAATTACATATGTACGGTATTCAATAAAGCGTTGAAAAGATGCGACAATATGAAGAGCCAGCAATTGATGCATGGAAACGAACGACCATTCGAATGTCACGTGTGCAATAAGACTTTCCAACGGTCTAGCGAACTGAAGAGGCACCAAGTGGCGCACGGAAATGAACGGCCATTCAATTATGTGTGCAATAAAACATTCAGAGAATCCAGGAATCTAAGGAGACACCGATTGACGCACGGAAACGAACGACCATTCAAGTGTAACGTGTGCAATAAAACACGGAACGTCTAGCAATCTGAAGAGACATCAATTGGCGCATGGAAACGTGCGGCCATTCGAATGCGGAGCATGTGGTAGGAAATTCACTCAGAAATATAATTTGAATAGACATGTGAAATTGCATAAAACTTCGGATGAAAAGCTATATCCTACAGTAAGCTCCTTAATGATATCGATATCAGATATCATTGAAACAGAAATATCAATAAGGGAAATAATTCGATTCGCTGAAATCTGAATTACTGTATTGTGTTCTTAAATTATATTTCCACTGTTTTTTTGCCATTTGTTCTTTGCGTGCTATTTCCTGATTGAAAAGCCAGCATTTAACGCACGGAAACATACGACCATTCAAATGCAAACAACAACATGTTACAGTTATATATAAACAATGTGATTTGTAATAATATGCAATTGGCAGCAGTTAAATGCTTTCGCTAAATATATTGACTAAAAATAATATTGTCGAAATCTGTAAAAACTCTCTCGCTTGTTGATAAATAAATATTGGAAATTTTAAAGGTATCTAATGCCTGTTTCTCCCTCAACAATAATCATTTATATTTAGAACTTTTACAGTAATCGAGTAATTCCAAAAAATATTGAGCAACCACAATTTTCATCTGAAATTCATTCTATCGATAATGAAATGGTATAAATTCTTTCTCTTCTTTATTTCTTTGTTCTAATCTTAAGTTTTTAAATTACATAAGAATTAATATCAAAAAATACCAAACAATCATTCAAAGATTTCGTTCACTTCCGTTCACAATCTAATACGTTGTTTAATACGTTTATCAGTGCTGTGTATAATTTATTTATATATTTTCCGAATTTTAATTTTAGTGAAATGGAAAAATATGATTGTTTTCTTGATGCTTAACAGTCAATGTTCAAATTTTCAAAATTTTATGTACATTTCATCAATCACTTCTTACATTCAATCAAGAAATAGCAGGGAAGAACAAGTGGCAATAAAACAGTACAAATGTAACTTAAGCCAACAAAATACAATAATTTATAATCCTGCAAATGCAATTATTCCCCTTATTAATATTTCTGTGTCAATGATATCTGATATCGATATCATTAAGGAGCTTACTGTAGAATATAGCTTTTCATCCGAACTTTTATGTACTTTCATGTGTCTATTCAAATCACCTTTCTGAGTGAAATTCCTGCCACATATTTCACATTTGAATGGTCGTTCGTTTTCGTGCGTCGATTGGTGTCTCTTCAGACTGCCAGGCGTTTCGAATGTTTTATTGTACACGTCAAATTCGAGTAGTTGTTTGCTTCCGTGTGTCGTCACTTGGTGCTTCTTCAAATTTGAATTCTGATTGAATGTTTTATCGCATACTTCACATTTGAATGGTCGTTCCTTTCCGTGCGTCACTTGGTGTACCCTCAGTCCATCGGGCCGTTTGAATGTTTTATTGCATACGTAACATTCGAATGGTCGTTCGTTTCCGTGCGTCACTTGGTGCATCCTCAGTCCGTCGGACCGTTTGAATGTTTCATTGCACAGGTAACATTCGAATGGTCGCACGCTTCCATGCATCAATTGGTGGCTCTTCAGATTTTCGGACCTTTGGAACGCCTTGTTGCACACCTTACATATGTAATTTTTTTCACCAGTATGTATCACCTTATGACGCTTCAGAGTGCCTAAATATCCGAATTGCTTACCGCATACTTCACATTTATACCGCTTCTCGTTTGCTTTACTGCCACTAGCTAT